AAAAAGATTAAAATATTTTCTCTAAATAAATATTTAAAATAATTATTTTATATTAACTTTCATTTTTTACTTAACTCTTTTTAAATCAAGAAATTTTAAACCAAAATCTTTATTAAATAAACCCCGATACAAAAGATACAATAAATTAAATTTTAATTTGTTTATAAAAGATGTCAAATATGTATAAAAATGGATCAGCTATCCAAACAATTAAAAGAATCTATATGGTGTTAGAAAGTTTACACAATAGTCTAATTTTTTTGGACATGATTTATAAACCTTTTAAACTCTATGCTGTTTTGTAATATTATTTAAATACTTAAATTTTTATTGACATATACGCATATGTATAATATATTGTGTGGTTTTTTACATATTATATTTTAGTTAGATAAGAATTTAAAATAGATTTGAATTTTGCGGTAGAATTTTTTTATAATAGAAATAAAATTTTCTTTTACAATTTATTATGTGGATCAATTTCGCTAAAGACAAAAGGGATCATTGTTTTATCATTAACTTGTTAGTCGTATACTTGATTAATGATGGACATTACGTTAAATAATAATGTTGAATAGAACGGTAGAATTTCTACGGCCGAACGGTAAATCTCCTATCATATGTAAATGGTATATCATAACACTGAAAGCATGAAATGACGGCAAATTAGAGTACTCGTCAACCGAATCGATATATTCTTATTGACGACCTCGTATTTTTTATGCATCACTCCAAAAAGGAAAAAGCGGGTCGTCTTTGCAATGCTTGAAAAGTCGCTCGATGACCAATTAAACGACGACTACATAGCATGATATAAATAAATACTGTCAATATAGATAAAATTATGGCTGATATTTTCGCTTAAACTTAAAATAAAGCTAATACACGTGCCTTTTCGTATATACACGTTTTTAATAAAAATATACTTATAACTCGCTGCGCGATATCTGCGTGTTTCGATATTCCAATAATTTTATAAACTTTTGTCGTTAATAAACGGGGCTGCGTCGTACTTTTATACATTAAACTGTAATAAAACCAGTCAAACTTTATTGATGAACAAAAAAAAATATATATATATATACCAATCGATCGTAGGGTGGCCGAGTATGGGTGCCGCATCCGGAGAAAGTGTGGGAGGGTGCCGTGCTCCTGGAGAACTACAAACAGAAACAGTCAACGCTGAAAGTACAAACGGAAGAGTCGAATCAGACGAAGACGTTGGAGATCAAATCAGACGCGGATCTTCCTCCGCTCCGAAATCCGGACATTCTTATAGGAGAAAACAATCTCACATCTTTGTCCTTTCTTCACGAGCCCGCCGTCCTCTACAATCTTCAGATCCGTTTTCAACGGCATTCCATCTACACCTACTGCGGCATCGTCCTGGTAGCCTTCAACCCGTACAACGAATTACACATCTACGGCAATGACACGATATGGGCCTACAGGGGCCAGGCGATGGGCGACCTGGAACCTCATATATTTGCCGTAGCCGAGGAAGCCTATACGAAATTGGAGAGGTGACTAATCGTCCATCAAAATTTATCTATTGATTAGATCACCGATATATATCTATATATCGCTGTTAATTAAAAAGTAGATCAGACGATTTTCCCGTTGGATAAAAAATAACGAACAAACAAATAGATAGATATGACCAAGTAAAAGAAGATATAGCTTTTATAGAATATTAAATTATTATAGAATATTATATTGCATTTTTATATAAAAGAATACGCGATATTTTTTTTATTTTATATATATTATACTTTAATAAATATATATTATATATTTTAACTCTATAAATAGATGGAAAATTGAATTACATCTAATTTAATCATATTCATTTAACAAAACAAAAACAATAAAAATATTTAAAAAAGTAAAAAATAAGAATATTAATTTTATTCAATTCCATTTAGGGAGAACCATGACCAGTCGATTATCGTCTCAGGCGAGTCGGGAGCCGGCAAAACGGTGTCCGCAAAGTATACCATGCGGTACTTTGCGACCGTCGGCGGATCGGCGACGGAAACGCAAGTCGAGAAGAAGGTTCTGGCCTCTTCCCCCATTATGGAGGCAATAGGTAATGCGAAAACCACTAGGAACGACAATTCCTCGAGATTCGGCAAGTTTATCGAAATTCATTTCAACAAGAACTACCATATTACTGGCGCCAGCATGAGGACCTACTTGTTGGAAAAGTCGCGGGTTGTGTTTCAGGCGAATGAGGAACGAAATTACCACATATTTTATCAGATGTGTTCGGCGGCGAAACGTCTTCCCAAATTGTATCTATCCGACCAGGATCAGTTCCACTATCTCAATCAGGGTGACAATCCCACGATCGACGGCGTGGATGATCTCATGTGCTTTGATGATACGATCAATGCACTGACGATGCTCGGCTTCACGTCCAAGCAGCAGGAAGATATGCTGCGCATTCTAGCAGCCATATTACACTTAGGTAACGTAGAGATAAGTTGCAAGATTAAGGATGCGAAGGATGGTGAAGTGGACACCGAGTCCAGCTACATCTCCCCATCGAACCGACATTTGCTGATTATTTCCGAACTACTCGGTATCGACGTGAAGGCGATGCGTAAGTGGCTGTGCCATCGAAAGATCGTGTCAATGCGAGAAGTCTTCCTGAAGCCTATGAACGTGGAGCAGGCAATCGGTGCGCGAGACGCCCTGGCCAAGCATATCTACGCCGAGCTCTTCAACTGGATTGTGATCGGCATCAACAATTCCTTACAGTCTCTCAGCAAAGCACAGCACTTTATCGGTGTGCTGGACATCTACGGCTTCGAGACGTTCGAGGTGAATTCGTTCGAGCAGTTCTGCATTAATTATGCAAACGAGAAGCTCCAGCAGCAATTCAATCAGCACGTCTTCAAGCTGGAGCAGGAGGAGTATTTGAAGGAGGACATTGAATGGACCTTCATCGACTTCTACGACAACCAGCCATGCATCGATCTGATTGAGACCAAACTCGGTATTCTGGATTTGCTGGACGAGGAGTGTCGTATGCCAAAGGGCTCGGATGCCTCCTGGGCAGAGAAACTGTATGCGAAATGCGGCAAGTTGAAGCATTTTGAGAAGCCGAGGTTTGGCACTTCAGCTTTCCTGATTCATCATTTCGCCGATCTCGTACAGTATGAGACAGTGGGCTTCCTGGAGAAGAACCGTGACACCGTGATCGAGGAACAGATAGACGTGCTAAGAGGCAGCGAGAACAAGCTACTAAAGAAACTATTCAGCGACGAGGACCCGAAACTGGCTGTGCCACATATTAGGGTGAAAGTATCCACGCAGAAGATTACACCGACAAACGTGTCCAACAAGCAAAACAAGAAGACTGTCGGCTCGCAGTTCCGCGATTCGCTCAACATGTTGATGACCACGCTGAACGCCACAACGCCGCATTACGTCCGCTGCATCAAGCCCAATGACTCGAAAGAGGCCTTCGAATACAATCCGATACGAGCGGTACAGCAGCTGCGCGCTTGCGGTGTGCTGGAGACCATCAGAATTTCGGCCGCGGGCTTCCCGAGTCAGCGAACATACGGTGATTTCTTCCAAAGGTATCGATGTCTCTGTAGATTCAAGGATATACGGCGGGACGATTTGAAGGAGACTTGCCGACGTATACTGGCCAGGTATATCAAAGACGAGGACAAGTTCAAGTTCGGCAAGACCAAGGTGCTCTTCAGAGCTGGTCAAGTAGCGTATTTGGAGAAACTACGAGCGGAGCGACAGCGGGATGCCTGCGTGATGATACAAAAAACCGTACGCGGTTTAATTTATCATAACAGGTACAAAAAGATCCGTCGGTCTATCCTCGGTCTTCAGAGATACGGCAGGGGTTATATTGCGCGGCAGAAGGCGGAGGCTGTTAGGAGAGAGAGGGCCGCGATAAAGATACAGGCGCATGTGAAGAGCTGGCTGCAGAGACGATGGTATCTGCAGGTGAAACGCACAATCCTCGGTCTGCAGACGTACGGCAGGGGCAACATGGCTCGCGTCAGATACAGGATAATGATGGACAATGCTGCCGCGACGGTGATCCAAAGATTCGCCCGGGGATATCTCGTAAGAATGGCGTGTAAGAAGAAACTTAGAGATATAATTACCGTGCAATCGTGCATTAGAAAACGTCAGGCAAAGAAGATCTTCAGGCGATTGAAAACAGAGGCCAAAAGCGTAGAGCACGTCAAGACCCTCAACAAAGGACTGGAAATGAAGATCATCACGTTGCAACAAAGGATAGACGAATTTGTAAGTGATGGATTATCTGTTGTGATATTGTATAAGCTTTATAAATTGCTTATTATTTTATTATTATTTTTATATATTTTATATTTTTCGAATAATACTAATATAAAGAAAGATTATACTTCAAAAATGCATGAACCTATTGTTTCAGGCAAAAGAAAATCATTTCTTGAAGAATATGCAAAATGAAATGGTAGACTTGAAGCATAAATTGGACAACTTGAAATCCGTCGACATTGAGAATAAAAAGTTGATGAAAGTAGTGCAGGAAAAACAGAAGGAATTGAAAAATATACAGGAAATTCTGAAACAGGAGAGAGACGAAAAAATGGACATATTGCACGATAAAGAGAGGATTTCTCTACAAAAGAACGAGGAAATTAAAAAGTTGCAGCAGGAGAACGAGATATTACGAAAGGAGCTTTCAATTGCGACCGAGAAGTTGAATAGCAACCAACGAGGTGCCGAGGAGAATCTAAAATATCGTCTCGAGCAAGAGAAAGATCTGCTTCAGCTGGAACAGGATCAGGATCGCACAGCTTATCAGAGACTGCTCAAGGAATACCACGAGCTGGAACAACATGCGGAAATGTTAGAACAAAAACTAGCGTTACCTGGACATTCGCGTTCTTTGAGCAATGCTTCCAGCGGCAGTGGTCAGATCGCGTCCACAGAAAATCCACAAGATGATCAAAACATTGTAAGTCGATACGCTGTAACATGTTATTGAATGAACGGGGCAATTAATTATGTAAAAGAAATTTGAATTGTAATACGATTAAACGTACAACAAAATCAACTAACTATAATTTATTATTATATTGATCGCTATTATATCGATTAGAGTTACATACTTTCCGATTCTGCTGCAGGATTTTGGTTACGGTTCTGTGAGATCCACGGCTTCCTCGTCGACGCCTTACTCGCGAGTGGAAACGATTGACTGGAATCAACAACGGTCAGATAGTCCACCGGACGGAGAAATTCAGCCAAATAAATCGCCTTCAGAAAAATACGGGCCTGCGCACGCACCCGTGGACATCGGTCTCGTTCTGAAGCTGCAACAGAAATTAAAAGATGTCGAGAAAGAGAAGGGCAGATTGATCAGAATGGTCGAAGATCTGGAACGCGATAATAACGAGGAGTCCTCCAGAACGCAGGATTCGTTCAGAGTAAGTAAAGGAAATATTATTTAGAGAAATAGCTCTTCTTCCAATTTTTATTTTTATTTTTTTATATGTCAAATTTTAAATTAAAACAATTCTAGTAAGTACTTGTTAATCTCTTTTTTCCCTGATACATGTGCGATATCACATTTAAACATTACTAAGATGTTATCGATATAAACCCACCACTCTGTTGTCTTATCGCCATTATCAGTGGATTAATGACGAACCGAGACAATATGGTTTATTTGCAGCTCCAAGAACTGGAAATGGAGAATTCACAACTTAAAAAAGACTTGAACTCATTGAGGAAGACAGTGTCATTGGCCAACCCATCATCAGCGCAACAAAATCTCATGAGTAATTTATTATTACAATTTATTAATTATCTTCTGCATATTTGTTAATAAGCACTGTAGATATATATTGACTTTTGACATATAAGTTAATCAACTTTGTATCTTTCAATATCTAAGGACTGAAGCACAAGAGATATAGATAAACATATTGTATATCTTCTGTAATTTCTATTTTCTGTTTTCTACCCTGTGCTAAATTTCTGCTTTCTCTTCCTTCTATCCTCTGAATACTGTCTTATTCGTTATGTTTTGTACTAATTAACTTAGCAGAATGTGTCAATAATTATAATTGATTTCTTTTATTATATACTTCATGCACCCCTCATATTCTTTGCGAAATTGTCGATTATCAGTATTATCGATAATTTTAATTCCTGCTATCTTTAAAAGCTAAAAATACTCCAAGCATGTAAAAACAACAAGGTTTGCAAAAGTTTCATCAATATTATATAAATTTACAAACGCTATAAAAATTATATATGTTTGGAAAATTATAATTCTTTAAAATACTTTCGATACGCATTTATTATATATTTGCTTTGTATGTGATAATTGAATGCTCTGCTGCTACTAATTCCCAAGGTCGCCAATGCTAAATAACTGTGTAAGAAACAATAACAATAATACGACTAAGAAACAGGATAATACAGACATAATGACATTACAGTACAATTCGAGGCTCTGCAAGAAGAACTGGAAAGAAGAAGAGAGGAGTGTATCCAGCTGCATAGCGTGTTGGCTGACCACACACGCAGAATGAAGAACTTAGGTGCCAACTATGGTCGTGACGTAGACATCATAAATGAGGACGGCGAGCTGGTACTTGCCTTCGAGGCGCAGAAAAAGATTAACAGGTAATATGAAACTAGATACACATTTAACGAAATGAGTTGACTAATAATAGAGTGCCGTGTCTAATAGTCTTTTATCGTTTGTGCATGCACTTCGATTTTCAGTAAACTTAAGACAAAGGCACCGAGAGGAGAGTGAGTTGAGCAGATTCACGTTGCGATCCGTATAAGCATTTTGTTTTGAACTGTTCAATCAAAAAAGAGACTTTATAATTTCACAATATCATGAATGTCTTGAAGCATCTTAAGCCAAGTCATTAATTAGCAAAATATTAGTAACTACATTAGTGTTGTGTGAATCATGCTAAATTTTCTTAACGATTCATTAGCTCTGGTCATTGCCCCTCTCTCTAACATTTTCATTATCACTTCATAGTGGCACTAATAATAGGCATGATTTCATGCTTAACATAATTCAGTTCAGCAATTTATTTGCGATTGAACAATTCAAGAAATTTTTAATCACAGTAATTCTCAAAAAAAAATCTGTATGTTTCGTTTTGAAGGCAACTGGAAGATGAGCTGCAAGCAAAAGAAAGGAGTTGGCGATCGCAAAGAGATGAATGGCGAGACGAAATAGACAGGCTGCAAGAAGAAATAGAGAAGCAGCAAAAATTACTTTCCATTAATTTGAGCAAGTCGCCGCAGACCCAAACGGAACTTTACATGCAGCATGAGGTTGCTAGACTAACGTCTGAAAATCTAGTAAGTGAAGCAAATTTTATATTATTATGATATAAAATTGATTATATTAATTTCAGTCAATTTTGTTGCATTGCTTCCATTTTTAATCACAATTTTAATTTTATATACAGTGTGTTTGGTTTAAGTATATACGCTCAGTTAATTTTTTAAGTAATAGAATTATATATACAAATATATATATATA